GACAATGCGTACCTCAGAAGATGTGATTGCTGTGTGCGTGCGTGCGTGTGTGTGTGATATGTCAAAGATATCTACTCTCACCACTTCTCTTTAACATCACAATGAAAGTCTTAGCTAGTTTATCAGTGTATTAAGGCCAAAGGAAAAGGAGTCACATAGAAAAAGCAATGGAAAAAGAAGAACAGAAAAGGCATAATGTTCCCCCCATAGAGCAGATAGCCTCTTATTCTTTTTTTTTTTTAACAATACATGAGATTTTTATTTAGTGAAGACAATATTTGCAATTTTAACAGCCAAAAACCCTTCAGTTATACTGTTCACTTTGCAACAAAATATCAGTAGATATTTTGATATCAACAGAATATTCATGCAAGTGGTAGAGGGTATATACATTGAAAAACAAAATACTCCAGAAATCAATATATGTACATTATTTACATATTAACTATATTTAAGTAATAGAAATGTTTTCAGAGGAAAAAAATGAGATCATGACTTGTAGTTTCTGGTTTATAATAGACTTCTCAGCGAAGCGTATCAGTGTAGATATCTGCATTTATAACCTTGAAAATAGGCACTGCATTATATGAAGCATTAAATGCTGCTTCACCTAAAAACAGCTCTTACTCTGAGTCCATTGGTGAAGTCCATGTTAAACTACTAGAAAGTGTGTCAGGACCCCAGGGATGTGGAGGCTTATGTGGGTTCAGGGTCACTCTAAATAAACCTCAAAAAATAACCAGGGCCCAGCAAGACAGCTAGGGGCTGTGGAACTGCCATCTCCCGCCTAGGGTCCTCAGAACTGTGGGCCGTCCTGTGTCTCCATAGGAAACTTTGTCTTTTAGCCTCTTATTCTGACAGTTGTAGGTTCTTTTTATACTCAAATCTTGACCTTGTTAAAAAAGTTGTTTTCCCTCTTTTTTCAGATATAGTACATGTCTCTATTATTCTCGATTCTTTTCATTTAAAAAATAAAATATGTAAGTCAAATCTCAAGACTTTCAAATTGTTGTTTTATTAAGGAGTTTTGGCAGATTATTTCTTCCATTAACTACTGTCCATGGAGCCTTGTAAATCCTTGCTATAGATGTGATTCTTCAGTGATATTTGTAACACAACCTGACCATAATTCTCTGGTTTAGGGTTTGGGCTACCACAAGATGAGCTGATTTTATTTTGAGGCTTAGTTTTGTTTTATGATCATTTCTACCTAGTATATAAAATAAGACAATATAATTTGTTGACAACTTTTGTGTTAGGAAAACTTTAAAAGGGACCATAAAGGAAGTTTAGATCTAAAATACACTCCTAAAGGCTCCAGCTTTCAGAGGTAGGTCAGAAGGTGATCGAGCTTGGGTGTGAACCCATTAATGAGATCAGAGCTGAATGTGCTGTTAGGAAACGGAGCCCAGCTGGAGCAGGTCGGGCTTTGGGAGCTGCCTCAAATGTCTGCTGTATTGCTGTACCTGCCATGAGTCAGCAGCTTTCCTCTGTTAGCCTTGCACCCTGCTATTGCTGCATTGGAGCCAGTTGACCACGGGCTGAACCCTCTGAGATGAGCCAGAATGTAGCTCTTCTCTTAAAGCTGAGTTTGTTAGCAGTTTTGTCCCAGGCTGGGAACTCTGCTATAGTGCATTTGTTTAAGGACTAAGTACAGGACTAGAGTGTACAATTGGAACTTAGCGTGTGGGAATTAAAAGCTAATCTCCCATATATATTTAACTTTTGTGAAATTTTTACTAGAATACTCTCTTCAACTCTGAACTTGATAACTTAAGATATGGGACTATTGGCAGGTTTCCTGAGAATGGTGCTAAAAATTATTAGAAAATAAAAGACCTGTAAGAAGAGGTTAAAATGAAATTTTGTGAGGAAGAGAGTGGAGGGGAAATTTAAAGTCCATGAAGAGCTATAAAAGGCATGGTAATACTACTTTCCTCATTGCAACTGATAAAGAAATGAATGTCCTAAATTTTTTATGAGGGAATTATTGGCATACTTTTTCTTCATTCCAAGGTGATTGAGATCAGCACTGTGTGTACATTTTTCTTCCTTGTGTTTTTCTGACGTGCAGTGTTCTTGATTTTCTACCTCAGCAACCGTGCTCACTTTGAGTCCCTTTCTCTAGAAAAGGTCTCCCTTTGGCTTCTATTCCTTACCTTCTTTCCTTGGCACTTTCTTCCATTCCCCTTTGGTGAAATCTACGGGTTTTTGATCTCTTGATCCTCTTGAATCTTCCCCAACTAAAGTATGCCATTTTACTTTCCTGCTTAAGTCTTTTATTCACTTTCCAAAACTTACAGCACATGTTCACAACCATCATAGTTCCTAGGGCTGTATCCAGAAAAGAGGGATGGAGGGACAAGTGTTCATAAGCCCCTTGCTAGTGTCATTTCCATGGTGCCTCAGTGTGAAAGACTTCCCTGAATGTGTGAGCTACCTACCACTGTGTTAGGTAACAAGATGGCATATGAATCTCAGCACTTGTTTAACTGGGACTATTTTGTAACCCTTGTTAAATTTAATATTTTTAGGAAAAAAGACATTAGATTTTTAAATTTTCTTTCTGCATTACTTCAAAAAGGGTTTACCATTTTAGTTTGGAGATGTCTGGATTGGGTATTGATATAAAAATAGAAGTCAAGACAAGTAGCTACTTCTCAGATAGTAGTGGGAAAATCCATTAGAAACTGTAATTCCTTTTTTGTGGAATCCTAAGATACCAGTACCATTAGGACCTTAGAGATCACCTGCCTCTTTAGTTATGCGGTGAGAAGACTGAGCCTTGAGAGACACTTCCAAGACACAGCTAATAGTGCAGACCTTGACCTCACAGCCCCACACATCAGTTCTTTTACTGCAGTAAAAGAAGACCCTTCCCTTCTTTAAACAGGATATGTCCATTTACATTTTTTGTGAAGTGTTTCATGTTTGCGCAAAAATACAAAAGTAAGCAACTTACTGTAATCAATTAGGATCTATGTATATGTTTGAACATATTTAGAT